TAGATCCCCATGTCCAGTTCTGCACTGGGTGTGGAAGCTACTCAAGATTCTCTCTCTCTGGGTGCCTCAGTTGTTAAGTGGCTGCTTTTGGCTCAGGTCATTATCCCAGGGTCCTGGGACTGAGCCCCGCATTGGGCTCCCTGCTCCGTGGGGAGCCTACCTCTCCCTCTCCCACTCCCACTTTCTCTGCTTGTGTTCCCTCTTGCTGTGTCTCTATCAAATAAATATTTTTAAAAAATCTTTAAAAAAAGGATTCTCTCTCTCCTCTCCCTCTGCCCCCCACCCCCTGCCCACCCCTCACTTGCCCACTCTCTAAAAAAAAGGAAGAAAAGAAATTAAGGTTTCCTGGAGTGCCTGGATGGCTCAGTTCATAGAGCATGTACCTCTTGATCTTGGGATCATTTGTTTGAGCGCCATGTTGGGAGTAGAGATCACTTAAAAAAGAAAAACAAGGTTTCTAAAAGTTAAGAATTCTACTAAATATAATTTAGCCTACTAGAAATAATAAGGAAACATTTTCATATGCCAAGAAATTAGGATGTTATGTGTTCCATAAGGAAAGATATGAGAAATGGAGTGTGTTTTTTGTTGAGGGAAAAGAAAGTTTTGTGCTAAAGCAAGGGTGGTTATTTAAAGAGGAACACAGAGACAAAATCTGAATGTAAGAATGAACATTGTAGAAAGTTTGTGAAAAGGGAATCTTTGAAAAAAATTTATGCATGATCAGGACAACAATTGGAATGAATGAGTTTTTTTCAAGACCCAAAGAAAGTCGCATGCTCTACAGTCAGGTGCCCCTGGAATGAATGAGTTTTAATGTCAAAGGTACACTGGTACAAGATTAGAATTGGTTTCCTCTCACTGTTAAAACAACAAAGTTTTCTCGGATTATTTGTCCACTCCCAATAAGAAAGTATAAACAAAGGTTTTTGTCTTTGACGTACTCCAGGTAAAAATGTACTCTAGGTAAGAAAACTGAATTTTTGAGGTGTTTTGTCTTTATCTGGTCTTTGATTACTTAAGGAAACTGATCTTCTCAATATTAAAAGAGCTAAGTTTTGTTAACAACTACGTAACCTTCTCTATTTGCTTTTAGAATCTTTTATTCTCACCTTGGATAATAAATAAAAGAGTATTAAGTTTTGTAATTATCTGTGATCCTATTTAGGCAGATGTTTTAAAAACTTATGTTATTTTTAACAAACTTCCCCCAATTCAAATTCTAAATGAAGTCTTTTTTGAATACATTGTCAAATTGCCAAAGCATGGTCAGGTAAGTGATGATAAACCTTGGGTTATATTGTATGGATGAATTGCTATTACTATAACTGCTCTAGAAATAATAGTAAATTCCTAAAGTTTTAATATGTCCTGGTACAATGTTATCACTTGTAATTCAAATGATTAAAGTGTTGTGTGTCACAGAAATAACCACATTTCTTTGTCAGCTGCATTGTAATGAACTCTCATGGAACTCTCATTGGATCTTGAACCATGGCCATTCTGAATCTTTTGTCATTTACAGTTCTTGTTTTATACTTGATGCTCTTGCAAATGTGTTTCAGCTTCAAGAAGATTCAGGGAAAGGACTTTTGATAAATACAGGTTTCTGATAACAAGACGGAACAGGATACGAATTTCTGTAACTAGTGTGAAATGTGGATTCAAACAAGAAGAATTAATAACATGCACCAGAATAAACTGAGGAAGATGATCACAGTTTTTATGAGTCTTGTTTGAAACGTTGCTGGTTTTCTAATGTTTGCTCTTCCAGCTTTAAGGAAACTTTCCCTCTTAAGCTATCTATGAACAGAAATTTGATTAAATATTCCTTTGTGAACAAATATGAAACATTTGTGTTTTTCTCCCTACCTGACCCCTCCAGAGTTTAGAAACTCAGTGAATATTTCTGTTTTCATGGCAATTATAGTTATTTGCAGAGTTAATTAAGAATCTGCTCTCCTTGTAACAGAACACCATTGTAAACATTGGTTATGTTACCAAGGCTTTGACTGGAATGTTGTATTTGAGAGAGAAGTGCATAGACTCAGATATGACCAAATAGCTTTAGGGAACTAAGGCTGACTTTATGGAGCCAATGAAGCCCCTTGGAACAATAAGCCTGATACCTTGCTTATAGGGTTCCCAGCAACTTTACAACATGAGTAAGGAAGGTCACTCCCTGGCAGGTGCAGGAACCTCAGGATATTTGGGGGACCTCTAAAAGGGAGGATTCACCCAAATCCATAGCTATTAATTATACAAAAGTCTGATGGCAAGTTATTGGCGTTGGCTTCTTAGCCTGAGGAAGCTGCTGAAAAGTCAATCTAAAATTGCTTATGAAAAGTTTCAGCAAAGCAGATTTAAAACAAGCTATAGAATCCATCACTATTCTTGCTACACTTCAGAAAAGAATCAGGCCAAGGTGTTGAAATTGGACTTATTTTACAAATTAGTATTCATTTGGCTGTCTTTGGTGGAAATGAGGGTGATTTTAGGGACTGTTAAGAAACAAAACCCAACTGAATAAATCTAAAGATCTAATTGGTTTTATTAAATAATTCATGAATCAAGCAGCACCCCATCTAGCATATAGAGGGAAGATTTGAGAAATTGTACAAAATGGAGGGTGTTTATAGGAAAGAAGGTGGGGCCTGAACCTTATTAGTAAAAGAAAAGGATTGTTCTAGGCAGGGTCACTTTCCCTTGGGGGAAGAAGCAGGGGATCTTATCATGCAGATTACTTCTTCTTCCTTTGGAGGGGGATGGAGAGGCCCCACATGACAGACTCCTTGGCATTGAGGAGGAAAATTCCAGACTGACCCATCAGTTAAGATTACATTTCTGGATTTGCAACGAGGTGGAATGAACTAGAGGGTATTTTGCTAAGCGAAATAAGTCCGTCAGAGAAAGAAAATTATCATATGATCTTACTCATATGTGGAATTTAAGAACAAAACAGAGGGTCATAGGGAAAGAGAGGGAGACAAATGGTAAGAGGCTTTTTAAATCATAGGAAACAACCTGAGGGTTGCTGGAGGGAAGGGGGGTAGGAGGATGGGGGTAACTGGGTGATGGGGACATGAAGGAGAGCAGGTGATATAATGAGCACTGGGTATCATGTAAGACGGATGAATCACTGAGCCCTACCTCTGAAACTAATAATATATGTTAATTAATTGAATTTAAATTAAAAAAATTACATTTCTGGGGGAGATTGAAACCGAAATTATATTAGGTATTAGGTTCCAGTTTGGGAACTCGGCAGAAGTCACACCATTTTGGGCCTGTGGTCTTTTTTTTTTTTTAAAGATTTTATTTATTTATTGGACAGACAGAGATCACAAGTAGTCAGAGAGACAGGCAGAGGGAGAGAGGAGGAAGCAGGCTCCCCGCTGAGCAGAGAGCCCGATGCGATGCGGGGCTCCATCCCAGGACCCTGAGATCATGACCTGAGCCGAAGGCAGAGGCTTAACCCACAGAGCCACCCAGGCGCCCTGGTGGTTTTCTTTTTAAAGAGAGAAAAAAACCCTGCAGTAACACACATGTTCAGATATTAGATTCTAGTTCTGATTGAGGGTGGTTGTTTCCCCATAAAACTGTGCTGAATCCTGAATTCTGGTGTCCTCAAATATCTGGCTATGATTCTCCAACTAAGGTTTCTAGTTTTCTTTCCTTCTTTTGACTTGGAATCACTGAGAACTAAAATTGCTGTTTTGGGAACGCCTGGGTGGCTCAGTAGCTTAAGCGTCTGCCTTTGGCTTTGGGTCCTGGGATCCAGACCTGTATTGGGCTCCCGCTCCTCGGGAAATCCGCTTCTCCCTCTGCTCCTCCCCCCTTTGCTTTCTCTGTCTCTGTCAAATAAATATTTAAAATCTTAAAAAAAAGTTGCCATTCCTGAAGCCCTGCAAACTGGAGCTAGACAACTTGAGAGAGAAACTTCAGAGAAACTGCCACAACAGCCCATGTTTAGACGGTCTTCATGCCTTTTGCTGTATGGGCCATTCAGAAAGATCGCCAGAGATACTCAGACTGCAAACTAGGAAAATTTATCAGAGTGCCACCGCCTGCTCTCTCTCCCTCTGAAGATGGTATGAACTTGATATCTAGAAATCTCACTGGCAGCACTCAGGACCACAGTGGTTTTATAATTTGCTCCAACCAGTAACATTTTTTCCTTTGTTTTTCTTTTGTTTCCATAGAGAGGCTTTTTAAAAAATTACCTGATTGCTTGCACAGTATGGGCCTAACTTTGGGAGCCCCCTTTCAAGACCACCTCCCTAAATGAGACACAACGGTTAACTGAATATACCTATTTTCAAAAGACTAGTTCCTGAGATACAGAGCAGACCTCTTAAGGTTCAGAACAAAACATTTAAACTCCAGTTAACGGGGAATAATATTGATCTCTGATATTTTTCCAGAAAAAATCTTGATCAAAATGCTCCATTTTTCTTTCCAACTCATGAACTCTTGAAGTAGGCCAGGAGCAGCAACTATTTTACATAGAGTTGGTCATAAAGTTTAAACACAGAACTGGCATTCAGATCCTAGGAACCCAGTCAAGTGAATTAATACATACCAGAGACAGTTTTGGTTGATGGCACCAATAAAACGATAAGATAGTAATCAGAAGTGCCTCCACTGGTTAGGACCAAAGTAGCAGTTTTTTTTTCACTTATCTAAATCATAAAATCACCCCTTCCTTCTTGCTCATAAAAAACCCTTGCTTTCCTTTCATGACCAAGACCCTTTTTTGATTCCTTCAGAATTCTGAGCCCCCAAATAAAGGCCTTTGTTGTTTTCAATTTTGCCTCCTTTACTCCGTTGATAAAATGATATGCAATAGAATAAGACAATGCAGAATGCGTAACATGGAAAGATAAATTGTTTTAGAAACATTTCTCAATAACGTTAATATGCATAAACTACTTCTATGTAAAAATACATGTATTAAATATAAAATGTATGCGGACATACGCGCGGACACACACACACACACCTGGAGTTGTTAAGCTATTTCTCACAGCGGGTTTTGATTCAAAGTTTGAAAAGCCCCTGAAAGAGGACTCAAAAGGATCCTGGCAAGGTAAATTCAAGGTCAAATGAGAGAGCCCCTTTCCTCGCATTTTGCAATGTAGAGCAGTTAATACAGGGAGAGGAAATTGCGTGGGAAGGAGGGGATACCCGAGCGAGGTCAAGCGGGGAGCCAAGGGCGCATCAGGACAGGGAGCTGCTGGATTCCTGACTGTCAGCTGAAGTAACCGGGAGGTTGATGCTATACGCTTCCCTTAAATGCTAAACCGAAAGAACTTCCGCGTTCCTTGTCCCTGAAAAGCTTACAAAGAATGGGGATTCGCTGTGCTTCGGGAGGTCACACTACATGGGGCCAGTTCCCGCACAGGGAATTATTATCCAGGGAAAGGAGAGGGGAGGTGGGCGGGGCGTGGGAAGAGCGGGAAGGCCTGACCAGTTCAGTCGAGAACGACTCACGTCGTGCTCTGCACAGCCCACCAGAGGGACCAGCAGTTCTGCACTCTGGGACCCCTTCGCGGAAGGAAGCCCCAGGGGCCGGGTTGGGAGTTGTCCCCCTTTCCCAGAGACAGCGGCGCTCCCAGCCAAAGGGCAGCAACCGCCTCCGCCCCCGGCCCTGCAACAGAATGGCTGGGCCGCCCGGTCGCAGGAACCCACGTGACCTGCTGCGCGGGCCACCGCCTCCGCCGCGCCCAGGCCCCGCCCCCGTGACGTCTCACCGCCCTCTGATTGTCGGAGCGTTCCGCCTCTTTCCGCGTTCGCTAATTGGCTCGCCGGGCAGGCAGCGCATTCCCCCCTCCCTCCCGCCCCGCCACGCCCCCGGAGTCGTGGAGAACGCGTTTGGGGGCGGGGTCTGGGTCGGAGGGGCGGGGTGATAGGGTTCCGCGCGGGTAAAGGGGCTGCCTGGAGCTCTGTCCAAGCGTTCTGCCGTGCACGCCGCCTCGCCTTGCAGGCTCGCCGTCTGCCCCTCCCCCGCCCGCCGCCGTCACCGGGGAAACGGGCCACGATAGCCCGCTGACCCGAAGCTGGTTTCATGGCAGCCGCGAAGAAAGCAGTTTTGGGGCCACTGGTGGGGGCAGTGGACCAGGGCACCAGCTCAACGCGCTTTTTGGTGAGCCTAGGGTGACATTTGAGAAGGCGCTGAGCCGAGGCGGGAGCCCAGGGACCTCGGGGCTGGTTTTCTTGTCCCCATCCCGCGCCTTCCCCGACCCCGGGCCCAGTCGCTAGGCAAAGGGTGGAGGCCAAGGCCCCCAGACCGGGACCTGCCACGCTGGAGCTACCCTGCGTGGGCCTGGGGGACCTCGGCCTCTCGCAACCCCCGCGGTCGAGTTGAGCAGCCCTGGCCTTGGTGGTGGAGCCGGGTCACCTACTAATAGGGGACTCCACCCCCAAAGGGAGCTACGACTCGCCGAGCATCCGTGCAGAGCGGCCCGCCTGCAGCCAGGGACAGGTGGCCACATTGACCGCTAGTGCGGGCTTCACCAGGAGCATTTGGCCTGCGGGGCGCAGGACGTCCTTGGATGGGGCGAAAGCTGTGTCACGGCTTTGGTAGACTAACACGGCGTCCTTTGGAGCAGTAGAACGAATATAGTATTGGCGTGGGGATGCGTTGTCATCCTCTCCCACAGAAATTGCAGAAGGTGGAATGCCGGCGTGGGGGGGTGGGGGGGGCGCAGAACACCTTAGGAAAAAGTCACACTACACTGCTTTTACCGGCATCTTTACTTAATTCCGGATACTCGAACATTTCAATTTCTGATACTTTGCGGGTTACAGATGGTTTTCTCCGTGCTTCACATCGTAAAATGATAGGAGAATTCTGTTTCCCTTTTTATTTACCATGTATGACAGCAGTTTTATCACAACGGAGTGCTAGTTAAGGGACTCTGCTTATTAATATGTTCTGTCCAATTAGGAAACTTGTTCTTAAAGTGATGTAGGACTGAGTTTAGTAAGATAAAAGTAATTGAAATAAATGGTGTTTAAGAACTCAAGCTTTCAATGGACATTTGACTCACTTGACAGGTTGATGTAAATATTGAATGATTATTTAGCTTTGTCTTTACTTCAAATCATTTGTCATGCGTTATTTTGTATGTGTATATACTGTGTATATATATGTATACATTATATATGAAGTTTATATGTTTCTTCCAAGTTCTGTTGAGCTGACCACTTGACTAAAACCTGTATTTGTGCTTTCATTTTGATACTTGTCTCTCTTGTCTAAAGTGAAAAGCTTTCAGTACGATTTTAGTTTGAGTCTCCCTTAATGACTTACCCTGGTTTGAGTTACCATGACGTAGTTCTACTGTCTCTTATATTGCTTATCTTTTGATCACCCAGGGCAGGTTTCACTTTGTCTTATTTTCATATCTTATTTTCACTTCGTCTTATTTTCATACAAATGTAAAGTAATCCTGAATCATAAGTAAAATAATCTAACTGGATTTGATTAATATATAAAATACACAATCATCATTACCATCTCCCCAATTTAAGAAAGATCTTTAAGACATGTGTTGGGGTGCCTGGGTGGCTCAGTTGGTTAGGCGTCTGCCTTTGGCTCAGGTCATGATCCCAGAGTCCTGGGATTAAGCCCTGCATCAGGCTCCCTGCTCTTCAGGAAGCCTGCTTCTCCCTCTCCCACTGCTCCGCTGCTTGTGTTCCTTCTCTTCCTGTGTCTCTCTCTGTCAAATAAAATCTTTTAAAAAAAAAAAAGACATGTTTGTTAACTGTGGGTTAATTTTTGAAATCATATTTAAGAATTACCCACACAATGCCTGCAGGGGCCAGCCAGGTAGAAGAGAGCAGACTCAGGCCAAAGGGGATAGCCTACAGCTGCCAAGCAGGAACACCAGGCAATGTTGCCAGAGCTTCAGATTTTTAAAGAAAAGCTGATAGTCTAGAATTCTCAGTGAAATCTTTCTCTTAAATGTTGGCAACTAGTTCATAAAGCTCAGTCGGGGCCAAACTCAACATGGTGATTATTCTCAAGTTTATACAGCTTTTGCCCTCTGTGAATATGGGTGAAGAATTTCAGAACTTTGCAGGCTTCCTTTTTAGCAGCCAGCCTTACTGTGCTTGTCTTCTTTTTTGACTCTTCACTGTTGACGTCCATGTAGCTCAGCAGTCTTTTTTTTTTTAAAGATTTCATTTATTTATTTGACAGACAGAGATCACAAGTAGGCAGAGAAGCAGGCAGAGAGAGAGGAGGAAGCAGGCTCCCGGCTGAGCAGAGAGCCTGATGCGGGGCTCGATCCCAGAACCCTGGGATCACGACCTGAGCCGAAGGCAGAGGCCTTAACCCACTGAGCCACCCAGGCGCCCCTAAGCAGTCTTATCTATTGTAGGTCATCCCTCAAATTCTGCTGCCCAAGAGGCATTTTTCTGCATTGGTGGGGAAAGAATTTGTCAGCTTCAAGTTATCACAATAATTTGTTCAGTGTGTGATATGAACAACCTAAGCCCCCAGAAGCTGGGTTCTCTTTACTGGGCTCTGTATGGCATGATCTCATTGAGTAAGCTAAAGTGCAAATTCAGATTCCCATCCTGCTTATAGAATGATGCATAAAAGTTGATCAGTTAAGTTTTCTGCTTCTTGAGAAACAAATATGAAGGCATGCCTCACAGGTACATAAAAGATTTAGACATTGTGTGAAGTGGAACAGAACTTAGGAACGGTTTAGCGAAATGTTTTCTTCTTTGGTTATAAGGAAAGTGGTTGCTAAACCACTCCCCGCAAAATACAGATAATAGATTTGCTGAATAAGTGCTTCCATCCTAAGGTGATTCCCAGGAGTTGTTCCAGTCGTTTTGTTCCGTGTTATAATTATGACTCAGAACTCATTGCTTACCTTCTCAGGAAAGAATACAGTGGATGTGAACTGTCATAAGGAACCTGGCAAAGTTAAAGGTGTTTGAACAACTTCCTGACCATTATTAATCAGATTTGCATACCTCATTCCACTTTTATAAGACCCATAACCTCTGCAAGCTTTCTTCTTCCTTTTTCTGTAATAGGAATGTTAGCTTTCTCCAATGTTGGACACAAGATTTCTTTATTCATGCTCTGTTCATCCGAGCAAATTGCCTCCTCCCCTGTTCCTCATATCTGCTGCCTGAAATTCCAGTCTGCTTCCAAATGGTGCCTTAACTGCCATCTCCTAGCAGGTCTTCCTCAACCTTTGGAATTTCTACCCCTTCCTATCCTACTTTTCTTAAAACCTCTCTTCCTAGCTCTTATCACCTGCTCTGTATTATAATTATATACCTGCTCTGCTTCGGAGCAGGGACCTCTTTTGAAGTCTTGTTGGTCTCTGTGTTCCTTAAAACATCCTGGTCAACACCACAAGTGAACATGTGTTTTGTCTACAGGGAGCACTTGCTACGTATTTATTGAAGACATGTTTATTTCTCTTTAATAGGTAAACTGAAATTTGATTCCAGTTTTGTTGTCTGTCTGTCTTTCTTTTTTTTTTTTTTTTACCTTGCCAAAAAATCTTAAAACTTCTTGACTTGGGTATATTTATTTAATTTCTTCTATTTTAGTAGTAGACCTGCCTTTTAAGAACATGCTCAGTTCTAGTTGTCAGAGTCCCCCCTGCGACCCTATGCATAGGCTTTGTGCTAAAGGAAGAATTTCATACTTGTCTGATAGGAAAGTGAACTGAGGTTGGCACATGATTACTCAGATTACAGAATAGGAACTTCTTGGAAAGAGAATCAGTGTAACAGGTTTTAAGGAGGGGCCATTTCTTTAGAAGACTATAAAGTTTCAGCTGAAATAGTCAGCTTCTTTCTTTAATTTGGTAACTTTGTTTCCCCCCCCCATTAAGTTGGATGTTACAAAAAGCAAAGACTTGGAATTTGTTGTGACTTGAAATGTGTTAGATGCAGCAATTGAGGATTTTTCCAGCATTATCTCATTTAATCCTCCTAACAACCATGGTGTAGGTAGTATTATTAGGCTCCTTTCCTGTGCCCAAGGTCACAGAGTAACGGGTGGAACTAGGATTCAAGGCCAGCTCTGTCGCACTCAGAAGCCTGTCCTCCTAATTCCTGCCTTAGGCTTCCCGGCTGCCTGGAGTACTGTGAA